CAGTCCTGACAAATTTTTTAGATAGTACGAAATTACATTTATACAGTTTATAAAGTACTTTTCCGCTAGTTTACGCTTTTTTTTTTTAAGTTTTTAGTTCTGAATAAGAAGTTAGAGGGTTGATAATTAAATTGCTGAAAAAGTGTAATTTAGATGAATTATTTAGAAAAAAAAACTCCCTGTGTATTCTGTATTAATTTTGGGAAGTTTGGACACACATTTGCAATTCACTTTCAATGTAATGGTAATTCTCACTTTAGTTATTAAACTGAACGTTAATGTGTTTTCCACTTGATTGTGCTGAGATGAGAGCTCCAAGTCTTGTAAAAATTTAGAGGGAAAAATTAAACAACTGATTTGCTGATCAGAGAAAAATTAGAAATGATATATACTGGACCAAGAGCTCCTTTAAGCACCCAGAGCTTTGGTTGCATATTCTACAAAATCAACAAAAAAAGTTCAGTGGTGTATTCCACACTTTACAGGCAGCCAGTGCAGAGAATGGAGGATGGGTGTCACGTGAAAAGAGTGTGTCTGATCTGTTAGTAATCTGGCCACAGGACTTTCCACCATCTGGGAAGATTGTTTTTCTTTTTCCCCTGATCATCAGAAAGAAATACATTTTTAAAACAAACAGTAACAAACTGCAGGCAATACATGCATCAGCAGAAAACCTAGAGAGAAAACGAAGAGGAATGATCATAATATTGTAGAGAGGAGTTTATAAACTATGACTAAGAAGGGGGGAGGTGGAAGAGGGATGGAGGGAAGGTCTGCCAAAGGTTAAATGAAACAAAACCCAACCACAAAACCAGTGTTCAAAATAAACACAGACCAAATACCAAAAATAAAAAAGTGAAGTGCAAGTAACAGAATATCTAACTTCAAATCTTTGACCATAAGGATTAAACATAAAAAAAAAAACCAAAACATATTTTATGATGTAATACTTTTTAACAAATTTTTATTTAAGCCTTGTGTTTAAAGATGAGATTATATAATTTTAAATTTAAGTGTGTTTTTTTTTTTTTTTTTGTGTTTCACATTTTTTTTTTTGGCAAAGGGGCACTTGTCTACATGGTGTGTATGATGGAACTTCACAACAACATTATTCCGTTGATTAAAAGTAACAAGGGGTTTGTTAGGATGTCTTAGTTTTGAAAAAGTATATATATATTTGGAATGTCAGTGTCTAAATTTTATTTCTGTGATGTGTCAATGTCTAAATTGTATTTCTGCGATGTGTCAGTGTGTGAATATGGGCCGTATTCAGGGCCGGACTGGGGATACGAAGCAGCCCTGGAAAAAAATCTATGCCAGCCCCATAAGTCATTGTGCTATGTAGGGTGTGTATATATATATATATATATATATATATATATATATATATATACACACACAATTGAAATAGTTGGCTGCACTCTCGGATTTCCTGAAAATGTAACTTTTATTGAAATATTTAAGAGAAGATCAATGTTTCAGTCCCTCTTGTGGACTTTCGTCAGGAAGATGACGAAAGTCCACAAGAGGGACTGAAACGTTGATCTTCTCTTAAATATTTCAATAAAAGTTACATTTTCAGGAAATCCGAGAGTGCAGCCAACTATTTCAATTGCATATATATATATATATATATATATATATATAAATATAGGCAATTTAAGTAGTTGGCTGCACACTCATGCTTACTACAGACAAGCTCACTGTACACACATTCTCACCACAGACAGGCTCCGACACACCCATGCTCCTTACAGACAAGCTCACTAACACACACACACACACACACACATATGATCCCTACAGACAAGCTCACTGACACACATACAAGCTCACTCACTAGCAGGCACACACACACACACAAACTCACTAGCAGGCACACACACACACACACACAGGCTCCCTCACTAGCAGATACGCGCACACACACACAGAGGCAGACAGTCACTGACACCCAGGCAGACAGCCACACACACACACACAGGCAGACAGTCATTGACACCGAGGCAAACACCCACACATACACAGACAGGCAGACAGCCACACACATACACAGACAGGCAGACAGTGTCACACACACACGCAGTCACACACAGGCAGACAGTCACACACAGACAGTCACACACTCAGTCAGACACTCACAGGCAGTCACACACAGACACTCACACACACTCACACAGACAGTCACACATTCACACAGGCAGTCACACAGACAGTCACTCACAGGCAGTCACACAGAGACACTCACACAGAGACAGTCACACACTCACACACAGTAACACAGAGACAGTCACACACTCACAGGCAGTCCCACACTCACACAGAGACAGTCCCACACTCACACAGAGACAGTCACACACTCACAGGCAGTCACACATAGACAGTCACACACAGACAGTCACACACTCACACAGACAGTCACACACTCACACAGGCAGTCTCACACAGGCAGTCACACACTCACAGGCAGTCACACACTCACACAGAGGCAGTCACACACTCACACACAGACAGTCACACACACACACACAGACAGTCACACAGGAGACAGTCACACACTCACAGGCAGTCACACACTCACACAGAGACAGTCCCACACACACAGGCAGTCACACACACACAGAGACAGTCCCACACTCACAGGCACACTCACAGGCAGTCACACAGACAGTCACACACAGACAGTCATACACTCACACAGAGACAGTCACACACTCACACAGAGACAGTCATACACTCACACACAGTAACACAGAGACAGTCACACACTCACAGGCAGTCACACACTCACACAGAGACAGTCACACACTCACAGGCAGTCACACACTCACACAGAGACAGTCCCACACTCACAGGCAGGCACACACTCACACAGAGACAGTCACACACTCACAGACAGTCACTCACAGACAGTCACACACAGACAGTCACACACAGACAGTCATACACTCACACAGAGACAGTCATACACTCACACAGAGACACTCACACAGAGACAGTCACACACTCACACAGACAGTCACACACTCACAGGCAGTCTCACACAGACAGTCACACACTCACAGGCAGTCACACAGAGACAGTAACACACTCACACACAGTCACACACTCACACAGAGACAGTCACACAGAGACAGTCCCACACTCACAGGCAGTCACACACTCACACAGAGACAGTCCCACACTCACAGGCAGTCACACACTCACACAGAGACAGTCCCACACTCACAGGCAGTCACACACACACAGAGACAGTCCCACACTCACAGGCAGTCACACACTCACACAGAGACAGTCATACACTCACACAGAGACAGTCACACACTCACACAGAGACAGTCACACACTTACACACTGACCTCCTTCTTAACTCCTGTTTGTTGCTCCTGCAGGCTGGTTGTTGGGGAAGCAGGGACTCCTTCCTGCTTCCCATGCTGCAGTCAGCCGGGCCCTGCCGCAGGTAAGCCCCGCTCCCGCCGCACGCTAAGCCCCACCCCCGCCGCATTAAGCTCCGCCCCCGTCGCTAATTTTTTTATTATTTTTTTATGATCCCGGCCGGCGGTGTGTGAGGTATGCCGGCCGGCTCCCCCTGGCTCCCATGGGGCTCTGTGCGGCCGGAGCTGTCAGCCCAATGATTAGGGCTGTCAGACCGGCCCCAGGTGCCGCGGCCCACCGGGAAATTTCCCGGTATCCCGGTGGGCCAGTCCGGCCCTGGCGGTAGTTCTTTTTTTCTATATCTTTTTCTTGCTTAGGAATTGGGACTATATTCGCTTGCAGTAAATTTTCTTTTTATGAAATAACTTATTAGAGCTAATATTAATAATAGCCATAGGATAATGTTTTTTATTGGCCAATAATTGTATACAAGATGTCCTTTATTCATTGATAAGAATATACAAACTTGCTTTTTGTGAAAACTACAGCAAGGTTAAAGGAACAATTTATGTGTCTGGAGTGAGTGGCAGAACTAATATAGGAGGGCCCCTCTGTGGAGCAATGATCCCCACCTGTCATGCATCTCGCAAAATGCTTTGCCAACTTGGAATCTACCATCTTAAACATGGAGTTTAAGCATGTGTGGGATAGGCATAAGGCTATCCTAGGTTTAAGATAAGGCCATGTACTAATTAAAAATATTTCAAAATATTCAGACTAGATGGGCCAAATGGTTCTTATCTGCCGTCACATTCTATGTTTCCCATCTTTGAAGGGTTGTATTTGTGAGTACTGAGAAATGTTTGTGTGCTTGAATGTAAGCATATTTTTGTATTGTGTATGTGAATGTGGGGGCTGATAAATAAAATCGTCTAAATAAGAAAGTGCAGAAAAAGACGCGTTTCGACTTTAAAGTCTTTCTCAATGTCTCTGCCGATGTTGTAGTGACCTGCTGTTTAAATATCTTCTGTATTAAGGTACTCTTCTTCACCTGCTTTTGTTTCGATCCTGCGTGTGATGTCACTTCCGGTCCGCAATTTAAAAACGTCACTTCTGGTCTGCCTAATTGGACGTCATATCCTCCTATGCTGTAGACAGCTTGTGTAGTGTAGTTGCCATTTTGGTTGAGGGCAAAATACCCTTTCAATGTCCAAACTATATCGGTAAAATACCTTCATATATGTAAAGTGGTATCTTGAATTAAAAAAGGGGAAATGTGATCATATAAACACTATAACAAATAAAAATTGTACCAAAAGGATATACAAATAAAATTATACATTTATACAATGTCTTGCATATAAAGATGATGTTATTGCAACATGAATGTAATTTAAAGATATATATGATCATTTTTTTTAACAGAGATTCACAGAATATTATCATTGTTTAAACAAAATAAAATAGTCAAAGAGAACAAACAATCAAAGGACAAACATGTAATGTTGCATATGGATGCATGATGTCATCTGCATAAAGAAGAACAAAATTGTCACAAGATAGCCATAAAGTAACAACAATAGTCAAAATCTGTAAAAAGACTGGACGAGAATTATCCTTAATAAATAGATGGAAGATGGGAGTAGAAGTAAGAGAGTGAGAAGGAGCCAATAAAAAAACTCCAAAAAGGATCCAAAAAAGAAGCTTCAAAAAAGGGGGCTACAATGGAGAAAAAGCGTAAAAAGTGTGTGTGTATATATATATCTCTATCTATCTAAAATAAAAAAATAATACATTTAAAAAATAAATAAAAAAATTATAAATAAAGAATAAAAAAATTAAAAATAATAATAAAAAGGGGTTACAAATAATGCCTGGGCATTTCCTCTTTGATCCCAGGGACCTCAAAAATGAAATTGGGACCGGGACAAAAGGGAAATAGAGCAGGAAGACCCTTGGATAAAACAACAAAAAAAAGAGTAAAATTGAACCCATAGGTATTTTTAATTTGTCTGACAAGGCCCTCACTCAAAGAGAGATAGAAATTTTGAATCAAGGTCTAAAATTTGCCCCAACTAGTTACAATAATACATTTAATACATATATTGACATCAACAGATTTGTTAGGAAACTCTAAAAAAAATTCTTTAAGAAATCTCCTTCCCAAGAATGTACTAATAGTCAAAAGGAAGAGAGTTTAGGCACAGTTGTTCACACCAATTTGAAGGATAAATCCAATTTCTTTCCACGTCATTTTATAAGTAGTGCTATCAGAGTTTTTGAATAATTAGTTATGAAGGACATAAAAAAAATACTTAAAACAAGGAGATCAAATCTTTTTTACAAAATAAGGCCTTACATGATCTACAAAATGATAAAAACATTATCATCAAACTGGCAGACAAGGGTGGGGGTGTCGTTATTCTTAACACTAGAGATTATGTGAAAGAAGTTTATAGGCAATTGAACGACACCTCCACCTATTGTAAATTGAAAAGTGATCCAACCATAGAAATTAAAAATAAACTAATAAAACTCTTGGACTATGGTAAATCCAGTGAAGTCCTTAATAAACATGAATATAACTATTTGAACATTCAAAAACATATATTCTGCCTAAAGTCCACTGGGATCCTAAGAATCCCCCAGGTAGGCCTATAGTATCCGGAGTGGGATCCTTGTTAAGCAGACTTTCAGAGTATATTGACAAGTAGTGATGTCCCGAACGGTTCGCGAATGGTTCGCCACGAACGGTTCGCCACGGACTCATCATTGAGTAAACTCAGCAGACACATTCCAGCCAATCAGCAGCAGACCCTCCCTTCCAGACCCTCCCACCTCCTGGACAGCTCACTAAGAATGCAGCTTCACAATGAATGTAAAATGGATGCTGTCCAGGAGGTGGGAGGGTCTGGGAGGGAGGGTCTGCTGCTGATTGGCTGGAATGTGTCTGCTGACTGTGAGGTACAGGGTCAAAGTTTACTCAATGATGAGTCCGTGGCGAACCATTCGCAAACCGTTCGGCAAACCGTTCGGGACATCACTACAGGCTGAACCAAGAAGTACTTTGTTCACTGTGGTACGATTAGGGAGTAAAATAAAAATAATGCTAGAAAACATGCATGCCTGTCAAGGGTTAATAAAACCGGCTGGTTATCTAAGTGCACATTCTGCACATCTTTAGAGGGCAAATATAATTAAGGTACACATTGGATTGCAAGTTTTGGCATTGAATAAACAGGCTGTGTGCCTAACATTAAGCTTAGTAAAGTAGATGGTGGTGAGCAAGGGGTTAACACGCTATGCTTATAAGGTTGCTATGTAACGACAAGGGTGCTGCACATTATATATATATAGCCGTTATGTCATGCGTTTAGAAAGTGGAGGCCTATACATGGCAGGTGTGAGAGTCAGAACAGTAACAAAAGCACTGCACCCTCAATGCACCCAGGCTTGTTTGGCGGTTTTACCCAAGCCCCACGCTTGCTATCAGAGTCCCAAACGGAGGCTGTGTCCTGGCTATGGGCACCTTCGCTGATCTCCACCAGCCTTGTGTCGGAACTCTGTGCTTCTTTGTCGCCTCGCTCTTCCTCCATGCACTCGTTGACAGAGTCTTGTTCTGGGGTCCATCGCCAGACGTTCTTTTGTCGCGATGGGTAGGTGCTTTTTGCGGGTGTGAACGGAGGTTCTGGGCACCCCGCCTATCGGCCTGCGGCCCCAGCGTTCTGTGGTTCACTGGAGTTTTGGGCTTGTGGATGTATGAGGTTTGTTTGGCGGTTTTTGGCCCACGTAGGTTAGCTGAGTATGTTTGTGTGGCTTGCGTCGGGGGCCTCCTGCCATTCTTCTGTTTGCTTCACTGCTCACCGCCTGGTGTCTGCATCTGGGATGCCGCTGTCTTGGCTTCCAACTTAGTCCAGAAGGCGTTGAAGTGTGCTTCCAGTCTCTGTAGAAAAATCTCAATGTAGTCGCTTGGGTCTCGTTGTGGCCGCTGCTGCATACGCCCTTGTAGTTGGTGGCTATCAGCCATCTTGTGGTCCGCCTTTTGGTCTGGATAGCAGGCAGGCAGCTCCACATCAACGCTGGTGTAAGTGTGCGACCGGGATAACCCCCTCCGGTCCAAAGCGGGGGGGAATCGGGTCAACAGGGCCATTTTGCATAGGCACACGGAACTGAAGAGCGGCCGTCTCTCCCGCCTGGAAGCCTCACTAGGCCCCGCTGAAAGCACCGGATAAATCGTAAGAGAACACCTTGTGGACACTCTCCTCAGTATCACAGCCGGTCTCAGGGTTAGTTAAGTCTCATTTGGTAGCAGATTGGTGTAATGAGAGTTGTTGTTTTTTGCTTTAGTTTGTGTTCAGGCTTGGAGCTCTCAGTAAGCACGTCTAGCTGCCATCCACTAGTTGTCATTATGATCTCTGGCTTCGTAGTGTACCGAAGGGACAATTCCTTAGAGTTTAAAAAAATTGTAGTAAATTTTACCAATTTGATACTCAAACGGAGAAATTAAAATCCTTTTTTTATTGAAAAGAACTATGATCCCTCCTTTTTGGATCAACAAATTAAGGAAATCAAACAGATCTCCAGACATACAGTTTTAGAATATAAAACTAAGAAGGCCATAGAAAATAAGGAAGAAGAACCTTTATTATATTTAAATTATAGTAATGAAGTAAATAAAATCAGAACTATTATTAATAAACACTGGCACGTATTAGCTACTGATGAAGATCTGACAGATATAATTAAAGACAAGCCCAAAATAGTATATCGGGGTACAAAGAATTTATGAAATATTTTGGTTAAGAGTTACATTAATCCCTCATTCAATGTGAATAATTTCGCCCAACAATCAGGTTTCTATCCATGTAAAATGTGTGAAGCATGTAAGAAGACAAAGTTTCCCAAGAATAAACAAGACTTTTTTACATCAAAAACCACTAATAAACAATATAATATCAAATCAGTACTCACCTGTTATTCCTCTAATGTGGTGTATCTCCTCTGGTGCCCATGTGGTCTACAATACGTGGGCATGACCACCAGACCTTTTAAAATCTGTATACAGGAACACATGGGCAATATTCAGAGAAGATATGTCAACCACAGTGTTTCGTCACACTTTTCCGAATATCATGGTGGGAATTCTTCCTTACTTAGCTATATGGTCATATATCAGAAGAAAAAAGATTGGAGGGGAGAAAACAATTTTAAGGAGCTAAGAAAGATAGCGGCTAGATGGATTTTTGATTTGGATACTTTGATACCTTCAGGTTTAAATTCTGATTTTGAACTCATTCATTATTTGTAACCCCTTTTTATTATTATTTTTTATTTATTATTTATTATTTATTTTTAATTTTATTATTATTTTTTTAATTTATTTAAAAATTTGTTTTTATTTTTTATTTTTATTTATCTTTTATTTTTATATTTATTTTTTATTTTATATATATATATATATATATATATATATATAATATATATATACATACATATACACTTTTTATGCTTTTTCTCCATTGTAGCTCCCTTTTTTGGAGCTTCTTTTTTGGATCCTTTTTGGAGTTTTTTTATTGGTTCCTTCTCACTCTATCTTGCTTCTATGCCCATCTTCCATCTATTTATTAAGGATAATTCTCGTCCAGTCTTTTTACAGATTTTCGACTATTGTTGTTACTTTATGGCTATCTTGTGACAATTTTGTTCTTCTTTATGCAGATGACATTATGCATCCATATGCAACATTACATGTTTGTCCTTTGATTGTTTGTTCTCTTTGACTATTTTATTTTGTTTAAACAATGATAATATTCTTAAATATTAAAAAAACGATCATATATCTTTAAATTACATTCATGTTGCATTAACATCATCTTTATATGCAAGAGATTGTATAAATATATAATTTTATTTGTATATCCTTTTGGTACAATTTTATTGGTTATAGAGTTTATATGATCACATTTCCCCTTTTTAATTCAAGGTACCGGTAACGGTAGCCATCTTTTTTGGTTACAAGAGTCCGTGGGTACTCCAATTATATGGAACATCTGCAGCTTTTAGTTGTGAGGTCACCTCTTTGATGGAGGCTCACCATAGTAGCATTGGATGGCTTAGGTTGTGGAAGAAGCTTAATGAGTGTTCCTTTAGAGATGTACAGAGTTTGTCTCCTAACCACCCATAGGAAACCCTCCTTATGGTTTTGTGTCTTAAAACACAGAATTACATTCCTAGGTGCAGGTTTGTTGCATGATTGTCCAGGTATGCTGTAAAGTCTATCCAAAGGCAGTCCATTTGTTTGTTTGGGCCTCAGTGTAGCAGTAATAATCTGCGGTAGTTCAACAGTGTCTATGATGTCAGGGATCCCACTCACCATTAGATTGCATTGTCTTGCAGTGTCCTACAGTTGTCCAAGCATAGCACTCAATTGTGCCCATGTGGTGGTGATTTTCAGTAGTTGTAACACAGTGGAGTCTTGCTTGATTCATAGGCCATGGACATCTTTCTCTGTAGTCCTTATCTGACCAGACAGTGTGCTTAGGTTCACCTTCAGCACTGCCACTTCTGAGGCAAAGAAGGCTTGAGATCTGACATAATTGTAATGAGATCTGATTTTGTAACTAGTGCAGTTCAGTCTGCCTTGGAGGCAAAATACTGCCCTTACATAGTGGATTCAGTGTCTCCACGAATCCCAGATCTTTGTTCAATAGTGAATTCTGTGCCGAGTCTGGCAGTAAGACTAGGGCATCTTAGGCCTGCAGGATTTGGAGAAAAACTGGCCGATGTCATGGGTAAGTCCCTCACTTAGCCCTCGGGTATTTAGGGAGTGTTTCCCCATGGTGTACTAAGGTTAGTAATAGCCTTCAGTTCCCTGAGATATAGCCAGGAGGCGCACTGGAGGGAGATTTACTCAGGTTTTTACAAGTGTCATGTGTCTTGTCAACTTGCCAGTTAGCTTTGCCCCTGCCAACTCCTCTTTTTGTCCTAATCTGGTAAGAAGTGACCTCAACTCATGTCTTACCAGCAAACTGCCAATCTAACAGGGTCTGGTCATGTTGTTTAAGGGCCGCAGTGCCTGACTGGTTCCCTAAACAGACATGGCCACCAGATGGCCCTAATTGTTAGGGCCACTCTATGGCCCCACCAGTTTGCGGTCCCAGGTGCTGCTGCACCAGTGATAATTTTGCTGCTGTCTGAGCTATGGTGCACCTGTCTTTTCCCCTGCTCAGTAAGCTATATTATAGTTGATTGAGAAGAATATGAACGCTGTAATCAATGAGAAGCTGCTGGTGTATTCCCCTGCTGAAAGTCTGTGCTGGAAAAAGAGATGGCTTACAAAGGTTGCAGACAGCACTTTTGCAGCTTTTGTAAACAGTGTTTCCATATAACCCCAAAGAAAACAGGCAGACAAAAATAAAGTTATGTTTTCTTTGGGGTATATCTACTCAATTGCTAATAAATAAATAAATTTTCAGTGTAGTGTGGAGTGTTCCTTTAAGTAAGATTGGCCAAGGCCTTGGACAAAGACCTATTTTGAGGTCTCTTCATAATTCTAACCTCTCTTAGAGATTTATTTACTAAACCTGAAATCGTAGAAATTTAAGTATTTCTTGGAGACTAGAAGCTTGCGTAAGCTTGTCTACTCTAGCGTAAAGCATATAATTCCCTTGAATTTCTCCACTTAACCCCTTAAGGGTTAATGTCATGATTCTCTTTTATTCCAGAAGTTTGGTCCTTAAGGGGTTAAAACAAATGATATTAAAATGATATACGAGTTCCTCATATGTCCCTAATCATGTTTTAGTATTCAAATATTGCACTGTCTATGGATGGACCACTTGGGTTATGATTTATGAACATGAAAACAAATATGCATATAAAAGTGTCAGTTTGACATTTATATAATTGTTTTATCAAATAGATTTCCCCCAAAATTCTAGCTGTCTGCATATTTCAGACAGGTGTGAGCACGAAATACTTAAGGTGAAAGACAGTTGACATTCAAACAAGTGCCTCTGTCTAAATGTACAGTTTTATTTTCTAGATTATCTATCAACCGTGCATTTTTACCTCCTCTACTCATATCAGACCTGGAATTTAATTCCAGGTCTGATAGTGGTAATCATTATATCTTTTTTAAAATGTTCAAGTCTTCTTCTCTTTCCCCTCCATTACACACAGTCTTTCCACCTGCATCTCTTCAGGCCTACTTGATGTTGCCCAGTTGATGTCATCACAGTTCCTTCAAATTAACCCAGCCAAAGCTGAAGTGCTCTTTTTATATTCTCCCTCTCCTTCACCTCCCATTCAAACTCCAGTCTTCGGTTTCCCCTCTTACTATCTACCCACCGTCCACAGCTCACAATTTCAGGATCATCTCACATAGCAACTATCACTTCTTGTTCGTCATTCCCACTTATTTAATATTCAGAAGATTTGCAAAATACTGACCTTCTCTTCTGCAAAACTCCTTATCCACTCCATTATCTTCACTAGGGTTGGTTACTGTAACTCCCTTCTACTTGGTCTAACGCAACACTCCATTGCTCATTACTTATTGCTTCAACAAATCCAAAATGTTGCTGCCTGTATACTCCTCTAACATGCCCCTTTCTGCTCAAGGCCAACCCATTCTTCCAAAGCTCAATTTATTTCTGGAACGCCAGCTGTCTCCCAGAAGATGACTTACCTTAACGTTAAAATTTTGCCATAACCTTGCTCTTCCCTTCCTATCAGTATGTATTAACTTATCAATCAATATATAATGAGCACAAATTAACCCTCACTGGACTAGTTTTGATATTTGTTTTCACTAAATCATTAACTGCATTCATCATTCATCAATTGTTTTCCTATTCTGGCAGTCTCTGGTTTATTTTCGATCCAAAATAAAATTTTAAAATGTTGACCTTTAGATACTAAGCTCTGACTCCCATTGCACCATGTATATTTCTACTCTTCTCTCCAAATGCTTTCCCACCTGCTAATGGTTTTGGCCTCTCCATGACTTCTCCTATGCTGCTCCCA